AAATATAATTGGTTTGAACTTTTCTAAATCACCTTTTTTTAGACAGGCAAGAAGTAGAGAGTGAAATCGAAGCATTACTCGATATTTCTCTCATAGCAGAGGTATGTGTGAATGTAAAGTAAGGAGTCTCTAAAGTTTCAACCCCCAAAGCATATTTTTAGGTAACTACATGGTGGATGCAATCACCGACTAATTGTTTGTTTTGTACCATAATCTTATGTTCTACGGTGATTTGACGGTTTTGCAATTTTCCCTTCGCACAATTTCCTATCGGCGCTTAATTAGGAGATGTGTGAGCTGTTCATCTTCCTAACCACTCTTCTTTAATTCTTCCCCAAAAATAACTTTCACTATTGTCTTATTTCGATAAGCCCGTACTGTACATATAAACGAGAGTTGTTTCTACATCCTAAATGTGGTGTTTGTTTTTGTACAGATCATATGTAGACATGTATATATAGTTGTACGAACTACCGTAATTAGCATTAAATAAATATTACTCGCCATAATTCAAATTTTATTTGTATCAGTTGACTTACTGAAACGTACTTGTACCTATATGCACTTGTTTCTGTTCGTACTTAAGAATCTGTGCCGCTGCTTCTAGAATTTGTGTTTAATTCCCAGTTTCAGGACTCATCTACTGACGAATTCTTGAATCGAAATCTTCTTAAAAATCTACAAACATGAGTTTTATTGTAAGTCATAATGGTTCCAATGAGGATTGCAGCATTCATTCGTCTTTGTTTAGGTTGGAATCAAAGAATCTGTTGCTTCTGCAGCTGAATCGCTCGGCGAAGCTTTGGCAGGAGAGAAGCCCGGAGATGTAAGCTTTGTTTATTCTTAAGCATGTAACATGGAAAAACCGACGTTTAAAGTGGAATTCTACAAAACAAAATCTTCATAAGCGCCTAAATTTGTCCAGCTTTTGTTTTATAGAGTTCCACTGTAAACGCTTCGGGTCGTGATGCAAAGAAAACTGTACAGTTTGGCGTGGACCCAAGAGTAAGTACTACAAAACATCAAATCATCCAGAAAAATTACTCCTGTTTAGTCTAAAAAAGCCGCATCGGATATGTCGCGCGATGCCCAGGCATCGGCACGCGGTCTTGGTGATGCCATCAAGGGCCAGGCTGGACAAGGATCCCAGGCAGCTAAAGACTCCGCTCAGAAGGTTCGCAACTCCAGTGAAATATTACCCTTAGTGTATGGGCAAAGCTTTGTAATTCTAACCAATAGTTAGCAGTAACTTCAAAACTAAATCAAAGGGGCAGAGGACCACTTACCACAATAGGTTCCGCCCTCGCAGACTACTGTTTTTCAAGGCAGTAGAGCACTGCGATTAGAATTCCTGGCAAACATGAAAAACTCTCCACTAAGGAAATCAACGTATTATTCGCATGAATCATGAAGTTGTAACAGTTGTCAGCAGAGGCGTGGTCTAATGGGGGTAAACAGTCCTCTACCCAGGGTCAAATTCTTAATCACGTGTGGAAATGCACA